AGGTGCACAATCTTCATTTTGCAAACATTTGCAGACTTCTTTTCAACTTGGCTCACTCTGCAAGACCAGACTGAGCATGGGAGTAAGAATACAAACACTAGAGCAACAGAATTCACTAGGGCTCATCCTAACTGTATTCTGAGCATGGGAGGCATGGATAACATTGACACAAAGCGTGCTCATTTAATACCAGCCTAAAATTTAGCAGTCAGTGTGGTAGTATGGACAGAATGTTGGATCGGGGTGAGGAAATCTGGTTCTAGTCCAAGTTGGCCATGAAGTGTACTAGATGACTTTGTGCCAGTCACTGACTCTCATCTTAACCTACCTCACAGGTTTGTTATGAGGATAAAGTAGAGAGGAGAGGAGAAAAAAGATTTTATGAGCCACTCTGACTTTTTTGCAGGAAAACGACAAGCTACAAATAAATAAATAATGTCTGACCCAGCTCATTAGGTCAGAGTAAAAATTAAATAGGGTTTTTTTTTTCAGAAGTGATCCAAAAGGAGGAAGCTACTATCTATTCCTGTTCACAACTGTCTCCGCACAAACATTCACTTCCATCCCAGAATCATTTTAAAACATTACTATGGAAGATAATGTTTAGCTAGAACTAGATTTTAATAAAGGTAGAAGAGAGATCTGATTTCTGTTGAAAAATGTGTTGTCAAGCAAAGAGCTAAAATTAAGCTCAGCCAAGCAAGAGAAAGAGAATGAATGAATTTAAACTACTTAGGCGCTAATCCTATACCCACTTACCTGACAGTGAGCACCACTAAATTAAATGGAACTTGCATCTTCTGAATAAACATGTGCAGAATTGCATTTTGGCTACTCAGCACTTACCAGACTAAATTAACAGATAATTTTAATCAGGCTGTGGGCCTGACTTAAATATGTAGGCAGTATTCTGTTTTGATGTAGGAAGAAAGCAGGTAGAAAAATGTCCAAATAGAAAACATATTAATGACAAATTACTGAATCATTTACAGCACAATTCTATACATGTTTACACAAAAACAAATTCCACTGAATTCAATGTGGCTTACTCCAAAGAAACTGGATATATGAATGCAGCCTGAAACTCTGGATAAGCTCAGAAAGAAAGATGCCTTCCAGGACAAAAAAGAGTGGGGAGCTGTTTCTACAGAAAAAAGTTACAATACTTTCTGAACTAAGGCCCACCCATGTAAAACATCTTTGAGGCAAGCAGCATGAGTGGAGATTCTCAAATACAATAACATGTGTCCTCCTTCTACGTAAGAACTTGAAGAACTGGGATAATACCAATTTTGGCATGGCTGCTAAACTTGCAGCACTGTCGTCCACAGTGGTGTGTCATGTCTTGCAAACCCAAACCAAATCCCACAGGGTGGCTTGTTTGAGGCCAACAATAGTTGGGATTGTTGTCCCCGTGACGGCTATCAACTGAACCAAGGCGACTAGCCCCTTAGTGGCAACCCTACTTCATCTTAGTTAACACAGCTGAGCTGCATTCCATGACACTGATTGGTGAGAAATAGTAGTAGTAGTAGTAGTAGTAGTAGTAGTAGTAGTAATAGTGACCTCAGATGTTAAATGCTGAAAGAAATGTAGCCAGAATAGCTGCAGTGAGAAACAGAACTGAAATAACAGATCAACCCTGCATATAACTACACATGCAAAGGGACAACTGCCCCACAAGTAGCTTAATGTAGTCTTACACATTCTCAGCAGACATACTGCTTCGTTTTTCTTGTCATGTCTTTTCCTTCCCAACAATACAAATCTTCTTGTATTCACTAAACAATGTGAAACCTAACTGTACTGAGATCACCTTCACATTTGTCAGTGAGATGTAAGTTAAAGCCTGTGCTGTGAAATGCATACATTAAAAATACTCAGACTTGCTGCTTCCCCAGAGCAGACACCACCATCATCAAAAGGACCTTATTTAGTCAGGACAAAACAGTAAAACCCTAAGTGGGTGCTGCAGGTTGACTATTTACATCCTACCTTATTTCCCTGTTCTTGCAAATGGCACTAGACAGTCTGCTAACAAGGGAATCCCTGCCATTTTTCTCTTATCCTATCATGCGGAAAGATGGAAACAATACCAGATACTACTACCAGCAGTCAGTTTTGCTACTAATGGAGGAGACTATTATCCAGGCTTATGCATTGCTTTTAGCAAGCCATTCATACTAAAAAGTAGCAAAGCATTACAGATAAAGCCTGTGGGGATTTTACAAAGATGCAGGTTACTTGTCGAAGACTCATTCATTGAGATATTTTGATTCTGAATGTTCAGTTCCATTTTCCTCAGAATATACAGCATTAATTAAAAAAGCAGGAACATTGCCATTGTTCACAGAAAAGCGATAATAATCTGTCAAGGAAGAATGACCAAATCCTCAAAGTGTTTTTTGTAATTGCTTATAATGGCCTATTATGCCAATTTGCCTTAGCTTCTTAATACCAGGGATTTACTGATTTTTCTTTTAAATTCTAATTTCAAGTTCTGCAAAACTATTCTCTGAAAAGAACAATTTCAGGTGTATATGAACTTTGCTCTTTTCACTGCAGTTGTTCATTCAATTGCTCCTATTCACATTTTAGTGAGCGGACATGATACAAGTACATATACAGTTTTAGGTAAGAATTGCTCAGACTTCTATGGATTTTTTCTGTCTCTCATCAACACAGCTGAAATGTTGCTCCTGCATGGTGACCTGGAAATGAATTTGCAACACTGGCTGCACACTACACCTCATATGGTACTTCACACATATGATTCATTGCCATTGTACTCTAGCCTCTTGGAAAAAGCGCAGGCAGGCAAGCAGGCATTACTAGCTGGGAATCTTACAGTATATTCTGAATGAAAGCTACAGCCTTCACTCAACAAGGGGCCCTCCTTTAATAAGGTCTGAAGTGGCCCCTGCTTTTCCCATCATTGCTTACCCTGTCTCTTTACATTGTGATGTCATCCCCCACTCTTTCACCTGCTACGGGAAGGAGAACAAGGGTTTACTCTTAGCTTTATGGTGGAGCCAGGGCTGATCTCTCTCTCTCCCCCCCCCTACTGGGCGTTTGCATATTTTCATATGAAAACGTTAAGAAAGTGGATGTTTTTCTCATACATGATAAAAGTACTGAGCCCCAAGGTAAACCTAATGCTGGTCAGAGCTTTCTGGGAGAAATACTTCCTGTTTGATGTCACCTAGGAATGCCAGTACTGGGAATGGTACACAGACCACTTGGAGCTTAATGATCTGTTGGCAATCAATAGCAAATTCATTCTATTAATTCACGAGTGCCTGGTGTCTACTCTGCCTTTTCACACTAACCTCCTTGTGTAGCCAGAGAAGAACAGCAGTGCTAGACCTGGATATATTCATCTTCCTTTGACAAGTTCAGGTCTGAACCGCCCAACAGCTACACCACACTCATGGAGACAGGCTGAGCCCTCTGGTGCTGGACCAACATTGGTGGCTACACATCAGCAGCCTGCAACATGGAACTGTGGCATCCCACTCCATCAAGGCCACGGTGGAGAGCAGTAGGCAGGTGGCCAAGGTATCCAGCAACGGCCAGGGCAGCATAGTCAGGGAAGAAGGTGGCCCCAAGGAGGTGGTCCTGGAGCCCTCCAAGCCCAAGGGCTGTTTCAAGGACCTCTTTAAGTTCCTAGCAGAGCAGCAGGGTTTTTACCAAGTCTAATTCTTATGTGCACACATATCAAATACTAAAACAGCTTCTCCAGAGAGGGCCACCTGAAGTGGGCTTTCAAGATCTCCATGCAGACCCTGCAGAATGGATTCATCTTGCTGGACTTGCTCTGCATTTCCTGAAATCATTTCTTTCAGCCCTTTAACTGCTTATTTTCTTTATACTGGCCATTTCCTTGTTCTCTCTTTTGTCATTATGTTTCATCACCATATTTATGTTTTTTACCCAGTTTGGTCTACTTTAAACAAGACAAACCAAATCCCAAACCCACAACTGATTACTACTGTACAATCTTTAAATTATTTGTCTGTTAATGAAAATGGAAAAAATATTTTAGCAATATAGTTATGGTATGGCAGGTATTGCAATATAGTTCAGCATCCAAAAGTACAGCACTTGTTGAAGAACATAGCTTTGGAAGTGGGTGGGGGTGAAGAAAAAGAAGAGTTGCACGGGGTGATCTATACTTACTGGCGTTGTACTTCTTTTCATTCAATAAATAATAAAGTTGGCTTTCCTACTTTAGACATAAGCTTCAAAATAGACATAAGAAACATAGAGAAAATACAGCAGAAAAATTTTGTGCCAATTTGCCTGTTTTATGGATACTCTACAAAAAGAGTGAACAAGTAAGTCAATTCTAGAACAACCTAGATGTTGGTGAGAGGAAAACCCTAGAAGAGAAGTAGAGGGAAGTTAAGCCTGTGTCTACTGTTCTCAGAGTGATTTATAATGGATCAACAAGCATTTCTGGCTCCCAATAACAGCAACAAAATAATCATACTCCTTGCTTTCCAAATCATCATGCTGAAATGAAAAAAGCTTGGGTTAATCAAAAGTGGTTGTTTGCATGAAAGGACTGTGAGCTCATTTCAGTTCTTTTATTCAGACCAAATCCCTGGGCTCTCATAATGCTTTGATTCTGTTGTATGCCTTCTGCACCACCCTCTGGCTGAAGAATGCCAGGGCTCTCATAAAAGAACAAAAGAGACTCTACATGCCTGAAGTCTCCCCACCTCTGCTCTAGGAGCTGGGGAAGAACCATTATAGTCACATTAGTATATAGCCTTCCCCAGCCTAGTGCCCTCCAATGAATGCTCTGCCCTACAACTTCCTGCATGTATCACCATCAGATTTACTGCCTGGGGCTGATGCAAGTTGACATCTAAAATGCCTGGAGGGCACCAGGCTGGGAAAGGTGAATTTGACAGCTGTTCTACAGAACAAGATGGTTAGAAAAGTCCGGTCATATATTACATAGTGCACAAAAGATTGCCAGAAAAAAGACTTACGTTGGAAGTTGTTCATAAAGCAAGCTTGAGCAGCGATCATCCATTCTGCTCTGGTTTCACAGAAGATGGCAATATTGGTCTTTGGTTGTTGGCCCAACACTAGTAATCCATCTCCAAATGTTTTAGCTTTCTTGAAAACCTCATCATATGTGAGCCAGTGATAATCTCCAAGGATGACCTGATAAAAATATAGACATTTAAAAAGCAGAAACTATCCCTACATGTGTGCAAGCAAATTTATGAATATTCTTTCTCTTCCTTCTTTTACCACATGGTTCTCAATTCTATCAAAATTCTGATTGCAAAGTCCATGGGCAGCAAGTTGCCTTTGTACAAAATGCATTTGAAAGTAACCTACATAAATAAAATACTAATTAAATGATAGCAAAGTAATGGTACAATAATAAAGAAGTTACTACTATAGGAACAGTAATAAATGGTTTCTTGGGTTCCTAGTCAAAAATAATAATTTATTTGGTTATACAAAGACAAACATAACCTATACTATCTGTCAATACTACTAAAAATGATTATTCAATAATTCTTGAAATGTACGCCATTTCTCAAATGGATGAATTTCCCTTGCTACTCACAGAATCGAATGGATCAAGGCTGACTTTGCAGCCTTAACACTATTCTTTAAAACTATCAGATATGCACAGCCTATATAATCAGTTTTCTGTCCTGATTCCTCTATCCTATTCCATCTCATTGCTGTAATTCCAAAGAATATAAGGGTAAGTAAAGTAAAGCTATAACAACAGAAAAGTGTGTTTGTGTCTGTGTCACAGCAGCAAGACTATGAAACCTAGACATGTAAAACATGGCAAGCGTCTTAAAGGAAACCTGGGGGCACATACCCAGAGATTATTTTCTGTTTTAAATTAATTATTTTATATTTAAAATTAATATAAGTGTAAACCTCTATTAATATTTTCAGCCTCTAAGGGTAGTCTTTTCAAGCAGCACACAATTTCACAATCAATACAGTTTGAAGCCAGGAGAGATCAGGAAGCCAAGGGACAAAGCTCTAAGCTTGCCCTCTCCCATATTGTTGTAGACTGACCTCCTTCAAGAGAATGGAGTTCACAAACCCATCCTTCATGGGGCTACAGCAGTGCACATGTACCCAGGGGTGTCAGCAGGCACAGTTTCACTCAGGCAGGGCAAGCAAAATCTGACCAACTTTTTAAAATTTTCTTGAAGACATTACTGTATCAAATAAATACCTATCCCAAGCATGTGAGCCTGCATCCATTTACTAATAAATAAACAGGACACTTAGAAATAAGCTCAAAGAGTTTGTTGTTGTCAAAACTGGAAAGTTTCAGAGGGGTACTTGCACTAGTCCATTGCAACAAAAACAATGAAGAGTCTTTGGGGTCTTAAAGACTAAAAAAGGCCATGACTTAAGTATTCATGGACACTGTCCACATTATCCAATTAGAAAGAGATTTCTAATGTAAAAACAAATGAAACAAATGAAAAACTTTGGGCAGTATCCATTCTGTCCGTGCCCTAGTGGGAAAAAACACAATGGGATGCTAAAAATTCTTGAAAGAGGTAGGAAAAAAACCATTTCTGGAGTATATCTGCTGAGCTCCCAAAAGAGAGTTCTGCCAACTTGCCTCATTCCAGAAATGAAAGTTTGCAATAATTTCTGTGACTCTAAAAGAGTTAAACCACATTGGGCTGCTTGAAGGTTCCACAGAGATGCAACAGAAGCAACAGAGCTGACACACCTAAAACTACATTATACAAACTGCAGATCACTACAAAGCAAACAATACTCCCTGTAAGCATTTGAAAGAGTATTGAAGGATATATGCTGCTCTCTAGTGTGCACTCCTTGTTACAGCACTTAACAACAAATACAAAGCTCCTATGGACAATGACAAATTACACTACAGTATGATCAGATTTGCATGTAACTGCAATTCATGGTTTGTTTAACCATAAAGGTGACTGATGCATTAAAACTCTGGGGTGTTTAATCCTAAACAACACAAAGAACCAGGTTCAAACATCTCAACAACAACAAAACAACAACAACAACAAAAACCCAGGAAACAGAGTGCTCTTCCAGTGCAGCCACTGCTAACTACAGGTTATTTAACCCAAAATTAGCCATTATGTGAAAACCAAGTCCATGGCTTCTTTCAGGTTGCTAAAGCTGAATTCCTATGCACACTTATTGGAGATAAGTTTTACAAACTGTGTCTTCATTTACTTCCAGCTCAATATACTTAGTGCACAATGTGATCCTGCTCAGGTTGCTCTAATTTTAATCAAGTGGCAAATAATACTTCCAAATGCTCACTGGAATTTTACCTTACTAGAACAACAAATCATGAACATGTTGGGTATACAGGAAAATCATGGAAGATGATTAGATTCATATCCAAAAATAAGATCCCAGTGTCCAGCATAAAACAGAAAAATGGTAAGGTTTATCAAATATAAATGCTGAGCACTTCTGTAGTTAACATCCTAAATAAATTTTAAATTTAATCATTTCTGAAGCTTGTGGTAATGCTAATTGTTTGTTTTGTTTTAGTTTACCCAGTAATCAGTGTTCCCTGGGTAGATTATAAGCAGTTTAAAACTGGGTATAGGATCTTCCAAGTGTCAATGGAAAATTACTCCTTCTTCCAGCTGCAGCCATCATCATGTTAAGTCTAACATGGAGCTCTGAGGGTCAGATACAGTGAATGAAGGAAAGCTGGGGTTATTTGGGCTGTTCCTTCTACATCAGACTAGGCAGTAGCAAATGTAAAGGGTATCTATTCTCCCCTTCTCAAAATAGAAGTGTGGTAAAACCACCCTCTGGTAAAAACAAGCAGTTCTGTTCCTGCATTTCTCAGCAGCCTGGTAGTTTAATAACTTGCATAACATAATGGTCCAAAGTTCCCTAATGCTGATCATTCATTCCTCTAATTATGCTGAGAAAGAAACTTACTAAGTAGATAAAATCTTAATCTGTGCTGAAAAGACCTCTTTATAAGCAGTCACAACTTGTTTTTAGTAAAATCTCTGGGCAAACAAGGTGGAGTTATTTATTTATGCATCATGAGCACTCACTGTTCAGGAACAGGGACTTACAAATTTTGTCTAGCCATTATTTCTGGTTGCTCAGCATTTCTACTGATCCATCTTTTCCTCCAAGTTCTCAGGCAGGGGGAAAGTATATTAGATAAGCGAAAAGGTCTTTTTCCTCACTTTGCACCAAACAGAAGTGCATACCAGAAAACCATAGTGCTCCACACAGTTTTAACTTTCAATAAAAATGTTCCATAGATAAGGCAAGCACAACAGGACCTATGGAAATTGCTGTAAAAATAAGTGCATATTTGTTCGGGGTTTCCCTAAAAAGCTGCTTTGTACAATGCATGGGTTCAGTGGATTTCTGGACAATGAATGCAGGAAGAGAATAAAGGAGTCAAAAGATGACATTTGATTCATGAATTTCAATCTGTTTTCTTAAGAATTGTAAGACATACAAGGATATTCAAGAATTTGAATAGAGTTTGAGACACTACCTGCCCCAGATATTTTACAAATCTACCTTCTATCATATGTTGTTTTAGCTGTTTTTTGTTTTCAAATGTTTGCATTTTGGAAATTTTAAATGGTATTTTATTATGAACTGCTGCAAACTGCCCAGAAAGCCTTGGCTACAGGGTGTTATAGAAACAAGCAAGCAAGCAAGCAGTAAAGATCAAGCAGAGAGGAAATAAAAGGCTTCTCATCTTAATCTACGTAATGTTATTTTATCAGCAGAATGTAAGCAATTTTTCATTCTGTATTCAGATTATGTGATCTTACAGAAAGAGAAGATTTTAACTGAGCAGCTAAAAGGAACAATTTGGAATTAGGAGGAAAACATGGCCTCTCAATTAGACAAACCAGAAAAGAGGAAAAAATGTGCTGAGTGCTAACAGAAATCTTTAACTGGGTCCTACATGTTATGAAATAGACCTGTCCTTATTCTCTGTATTATTTACTAAACATGCAAATAATACAGAGTATATAAGACAACGGTTTGGTTTTCTTCAATTGATTTGTAAAGGTTTCATACCTTTTGATTTGTAAAGGTTAGAGAGCAAATAAGCTCCCTACTTTTGGAATTACTGCAGTTTCTTGCAAAGTAAGTATTTGTGAGTTTCAACAATTTAGATGCTTTTAGACAGTGGTTTGTTTGTTTATTCACATATTTATATGCCACCTGTAACTGCCAAGGGCCTTTCTAGGTGGCTTACAAGTAACAACGTATTAAAAACTATTAAAACAGTTAAAAGAATAAACTATCAGGTGGGTCATGGTTTGGTGTGGTCTTTCAGCATATCTTTTCAATGTATTTTGGTATTTTACATTGTAGAGTAAGTTCCCTTTGTGAACTTATATGTTTTAATATAAGTATTTCTTTTTGTTGCTTCCAAATCAGTAATATTCTTAAAAGGTTGTCTTCTGTTTTGCTCATAGCATTAGGTCCTGGAGGAGGCTTTTGTTCAAAACATGTAGAGTTACACTAAGCAATGAAATCCTTAGTATTTCTGGTTGGCTAGTCAGAAACAACAAAGATAAAACATATTGCTTGGCCAGAAAATAAGAAAAGGAACGTATCTTATTCATAATGCTGTCAAAACAGAAGCAAAAATTCATTTGGACACTAAGAAACAGAATAATGATTTATGTGTTCAGTGAATTTTGTTTCCGTCTCAATGGTCCCTGAGGTGGTTTTCCTGTTTTTGCCAGTCCCCAGTTGTGGAAAGGTTGAAAACCACTGTCCTACACAATAGCTACCACAGAAAGAAGAGACACGGAGTGTTTGAACAACAAACCAGAAGTCTGAGAAACAGCAAACTTCTAGGTTAATTATGGAAAGGATCTAAAATATACCTAAAATTTCATTTTGCAAGTTGCTCATTTGTACACCACTTTTACATTCCTCACCCTAGAGTCTCCAGGTTGCCAAAAGAAAGGCATGCTTGGAGGGTACTAGGAAAAGCATTTTAACCACTGTTTGTTGAAATAAACTATGACTACACATGCTTCTGAGAATTTCTGATGAGCAGCCAAGTCTTCTGAAACATTCAGTTCAAAAGGCAGACTACACAGACCTTCCCACAGGACACCACATACTCTTAATAAAGTTATACACTAACAACACAAAAACTGCCTATACTCCTTAAGACTCTTAACCTGCTATAAAATGATCCTATAATATACATAATAAGACTTTCAGCCACCTCCCTACTCTTCCTTGTTTTTAAATCCAAGGAGTAACATACCTTTTTAAAAACTTTGCCTGATGGCTGGATTTCATCTTCTTCCTTCAAGATTTCTCTTGTTCCCAGGAGTTTTCTGTCCTTAAATTTACTTCTAGCATATTTGAAAGCTTTGTCAAGTGTATCACACCCAGGATATAATACAGATGCTAAGCAATGCAGACTGTTCACAGACCTGTATGGACTACTTGGCTTGTTAGTCACAGACTTAGCTTTAACCTGCTTTGACTTGGCTATGGCATATCTTGATCCAGAAAATAAATACCATGGAATAAAGGTTATACATGTGTATACTAAAATTACAAAGTTTATAATATAAAGAAGAAATGGATTAATATTGTGCTTTAGCTTCATTGTTTCCATCTTTGAAGTCTGTAAGCTACTCAAACAGCATGACAAGTGTATCACATAAGGATTGCCAAAGTCCTGAAACAAAAAAGAAAACATACCATTAAATATTGATAGCACTGACTTACATGTTTAGTCTAAAAATATCATTGCTTCCATAAAAAAAGAATTCCTTCTCATAAAATTTAAATGTAAAGCCAAATAGGAATAGGGAAAGTTAAATGCTTTAGCACATCCTTCATGAATAAAGCCCACAGGTTTTTTCACAGCAGCTTCAGTTAAGAGATCACGACTGGGAAAAAACCTCACTACAGCCCTTAGAACTAGATTTGGTACCTGTTATCAAGCATGGTTGCCAAGAGTACCAAAATAATTGTTACAATCCCCAAAAAGGAGCTGACATACAGCTTCCTCTATAATAGGATCTTTTCTTCCATGTTTGCTGCTCTGCCTACAGGTGCAAATAGGGATATATAGTATCTCATGTGTCCCAGATGGTGTCTAGGCCAAGGGCAAACACACAAACTATGCAGTACCCAAAGGACACACACATGTTTTTATTAATAATGATTAGGTGGAAAAATCTCTAATCATCCTTGAAAGTGTCCATGGAATAAGCTAAAGAAAGCTATGAATGGTACATCCAGTGCCAGAATCATGAAGAACTTATTCAATATCATAAAGAACCACCTTACTTGTCCACTTTGCTTACCAAGCCATTTTGCTATATGATGTAGCCTTTAAACATCTGTTTAATCCACTGGCAGAACTTGTATCAACACCTTCTGCAGTATCTGCAGGAAAGTGAGGAGAAAAGGCCTATTTCTTAAATTGGTAATTCAAAATTCAATACCCATCTGATAGAAGGGAATCATTTCTCTTCCCAAATGTTCACGCTAGAAAGAAATTTACTGTAAGCTGACAAACTCTTCAGAAGTTCTGCAATTAAAAGATACTGAAAATCTAAACACTGTTCAAGTTACACACAAATCAGTTTTACTACAATATTCTAGTTACACCAGGAAGCCACAACAGTACTTAGCAAATGCAAACAAACTTTCTGCATGTGTTCTGAAGTAGCTTGAGGACTGTTAGACACCATTAGGCAATGAAGTTATGAACCTATGACTGTCTAGCATCTTTGGTTTGTGGCTGGAGTCTACAGACTACAATGGCATATGCAAGCTTTGACACAAAACACTTCATCAGTCCCATTCTATTCATACAATTTCAGTGCATCAGTTCAACTGAGTAGCAGTGACTTCACCACGTTATTTCAGACAGGAATTGAGTCTTGTGAAATTGAGCAGCAACAGTCTTCTGCTACCTTAAACATGAACAAATGCATAAAATCGATCAGGGATTCTTTCTCTTTAAAAAGGCACTATTTTAAAAAGGGCAATATAAAAAAATTGGCTGACAATATGCTCAATTATTCCCTCGAGTATGCAGTGCAAATACAGAAACGTTAATCACAATTTTTATACTGTAATCTTGTAGTAGACAATTAAGGCTAAAAAGAAAAAAAAACCCAAAAAACTGAGCCAATTTGCTAAATAGCAAATCAACACCAAATTTTAAATCAAAGGATTTTCAGAATATTTGAACAAAGACACATAATTCTTGTTTCCAGCACTAGACTACACTTCTGGTCATTCAGCAACACACATGTCTAGTAGTTATGGTGATATTCTACATTTCAAATGACAATCTGGTAGAAATAAACGTACTGCTAATCTATGATTTAGGACTGTATAGGGTCAGATGTTCTTAGGAGTAGCCAGTCAGGCTGTATGCCTGTGCTGAGCAGAGCTACCCCCTTCCTTTCTCACCTGTCCAGCCTCCCCGCCCACCAGGCTATGAAGGGAGGGAAGATAATTTTTGCCAGAATTGATTATTTGCAAAGGGATTTTGAAATCAGGCTAAGGGATGTAGGCAGTTCATCGCTGCAACAGTAGTTCATATGGAGAAGTGTAAACATCCTGCTTTATGAATCCTCCCAGTCTCATTTTTGTAATGTTTGTTCCCATCTATTTGAGCTGTGGATATCCTTGGCATTAAAAGAGCAACAGATATATTTTAATGCAATGCTGAAGTTTCCCTGAAGTTTCTACTTCTGAATTCTTAAAAGGGTAAGCCACTAGAACACAAGTTGTATGCGTCTGTGTCCAAATAAAATGAAATACAAAATTAAAAAAATTAAAATGCTAACTACAGATGACATTTCAGGCTTCAGTTCCATGGGACAAAATTTATAGAAACTTTCAAAATACTTCTGACTGAACCCCTAATTAGCTGTTATAAAGTATAAAAGAGGTACTCATTGGTGGCCTGGAATATTATGTAAAAGGGGTGTTTCTTCCTCCCTAAACTGAACCCCTAATACTATGAGGTGCATGACTTGACTTTATTTTCTTTTAATTATTCTTGGAGGTGATCAAAATAATCTTTCCTTTAATTAAGTAATCCATGCTATTACATTTTTTAAAAACTATGCTAGCTACATTATTTCAAAACTTCATGATATCTGACCCACAATCATATTAAGTACACTTGCAGCCCTAAATACTTACTTCAACTAAAGTTGAAACAAAAATGAACTTGTGTTAGAATTTAAATAAATCAAAAGTCAAATAACTTTAACAAGGGAATTTAATCCAGGAAATGTTCTGCCTACTGCTAGAGTTGATCCCTATTATGCAATATAATTTATTCTTTCACCTATTACTTTCAGAGTTCTGTTTGTTCATTCAGAAAAGGGAAAAGACCAAGAAAAAAAGTGTTTTGCGCCTGATCTGATAATCTTGTGACAAACAATGCAACTAGAATAAAGTACAAAGTGTCAAGTAAAAAAAACAAAAACCTTAAATGACTTCTCATCGTTGTTGCGGATGGTACCAATGGGACAGAAGTTTCCAGACACTTGAGTCTCAACTGGATTTGTCACAGGCAAGGCTGAAGAAATCTAAAGATGAAAAATTGAAACAAATAAAGCATCTGTTAAAAATATCACACCATGAATTGCTGCACTTTTACCTAAGCAGATATAAAAACATACCTGCACTTTCCAAGCTGCATTATTTATGCATGTACAAAATAAATACAGGTTTGTTAGTCCAAGAAGAATATACCTCAGTCCACTGCTTCATGTTTAATTTCATTTTTAGATTTGTAAACTACTCACATAGCACTCACGGAGGCTCACAAGAATTTTTTTTTTAAAGAACTCTCTAACATCTCTGACTAAGCAAAGTATGTTTCATACTGATTGCAAACTAAAGGCCTATTTCTGCAACACTGGACATGTAGCAGCCACCAAATCTGGCATATGATGTACATCTGACAGTGCTTGCCTGAGTTTACATCCCTGTGTGTGTGCCTTACGGTCATTCACTGAGCCCTTTCATGCATCCATAACATCTCAAGTTCATCAAGAAAGTACCAGGTTCAGGAAGCTCTTGGTGGTAGCATTCTCCTTATAGAAACCCCTTAGATCCCCTCTCTGCTTTCAGAAGACTCTCTTCCTCAGAATAGCATTTTCTGAGCTTGAGAACAGCTTGGGATAACTGATGGACATTCATTTTTAGTGGTTATGCATGCTTAGAATAAAGATGTAAAGGCCTAGAAAAAAAATCTGGAGGGGGGATCAGTTTCTCCCCACCCCAGAAACAAGGAAAAAAATCTTTTCTTTTGCTTTTCTCTTTTCAGGCACACACAATTCTAGCTTAGAATTGCCACTTTAATCAATTAGTTTCTTATACTCCAATAATATTCCATTTTTTATTTTGAGTTGGAAGTCACTTTGAGGGCAAGGTAGTTAAGCAAGTAATATGCATTTATAAAACAGAATAGAAACTCAAAAGCTAGCCAACTTTATTTTAAAAAGACAAACAGGTATATGGAAATGCTCTTAATTATACAAATTAGAATCAACTCTCCCCTTCTTTGTCTTAACATGACATAAAATAAGTAGATTTAAAGAATATAAGAAACCTTATTGAAGTTATCAAAATGTAAAACAAAATGTGATTTGAATTAATTCAACTATTATTATTTTTATTGTTGTAAGATATCTTTGCCATGATTTAGAGGTGTATGACTTATATTTTTATAAGCACACAGATTAGCATCAATTCAGCTAACTAAAGATCACAGCAGCAGATTTTTAACTCATGAATTGTATGCAATTCACAAGTGAATTCACTGTCACAATTCAATGTCACATAGGATTAAACTGTTAGATGGGTTTAAATTGACTGGACAAATTAATGGGAGATATTAAACACATCTATCAATAGCTATAGGCAACAGCTAAAAAAATTTCCTATTGTTAAAGGCAATATACTTCTGAGTACACACATTTGGGAACAGACAATAGGGGCTATTTGTGGCAGATCTGTAAGCTTTAAGTGGCAACTTGCTGGCTAGTATTGAAAACAGAATGCTAAACGTATTTCATTACAATGAATTCCATTTATTTCAGGTTAAATATAAATAAGCACTTAGGTTTGCACACTGTGCTTAAACTATTCTCCTCAGCCGTATTCCTAAAATGCACATCATGACACTAATCGAAAGTGGGCAACTTGAGGCCTTCCAGATGTTTTGGCCCACAACTCCTATCAACCATAGGCAATATAATAAATGGTGAGAGCTGATGGGAACTGCAGCCCTCTAAGTCTTTTAACCCTCAAATTGCCAATTCATGAACTAGAAGGACAACAGCTATAGTTTTCAATTCTTAAAATTTAGATTAACGCTGTATATAGATAGAATATGAAAAGCAGGCACAGTAAGCATATGCTGCAAACTAAACAAAGGAGCACTGTGACCTATACTTTAATACTATTCTTTAATATAAACATTACCAATCAGCAAAGTCTCTGAAGCACTGTTAACACATAATGAATTATCATTAGAACTACACATTTTCTTGTTTGGGGGACAGGGTTAAAAACAAATATTGCAGCTTAATGTCAACCTAATGCAACTAACAGGGTTGTGGCAATATTATATAAGAATGGGTGTTCACTTGTGTTAAGCCTTTTAAACAGAGCAGAACAGAAGGTACATGGTAACAAATCAATCCAACTCCACTATCAATCCAAATTTGGTCTACATCTGCTTATACCTTGTGTGTTAAGTTTACCACCAGCATAAGATTCAGATTTGTGCACTATTCAGTTACACTTCAGAGCTTTACTGCATAGAAAAATACCCAACAGTCACTCTCAGAACACAGTTCAGTTACTCCAACTAGGCAGCAAACCACTTGTGTACTCCCAACTAACTATATACATCAGGAAATCAGGTTCTGGTAGACACAGTACAGAGAAATGATGTTCACCCAAGCACATGCTTACTACCTATTTTACCTGCAGTGACTTCAAGTGAGTGTATCCAGAATTGTAGCTTTGATTGTCTGCTACTTAGCACTGGAGAAAAAAACCTGATATTCCAGCTTATTGAAAAGCTTTCAGCATCATTCAGTTCATGGGGAAAGTGTTAAAACTGCATGAGGTTATGTTTCAGGAAAACATGTTTGGAGCAGAATTTGATATAAAATTATAATGGAGGTAAAGAGCCTCCAGGTTATTTCTTCAGTATGAACTAGAATCTAGATCCGCTGCATTTGTGGCTCACCGCCTTGACACACGATTCAAGATGACGTTTAAAGCCATTCTCAGAGGATAGCTCATGCGGAGACACATCTTCCTTTAAAAACGAGCTACATTCTTAGAGAACCGCCCTCTGCTGTTCGGTTTCAATAAAGAACTCACGTCACTGTGCATTTACTCGGAATCTGCAGCACCTACGGACGGAATCCTCTGCTTATTTAGGTGAAAAAGGAGTCTTGATTCTGTTCCTGTTTCTAACCAATTTAAGTCGTAGCACTTTTTTGCTGCGCAAATACGCACACGATTGCGCCCCATACCTATTGCTCCGGGAAGAATGCTACCATGTTGGGGAAGAGGCTGCCGCGTGATGCTCGCTAGCCATCTTTGCTGGCGTCGGATCCCGGATGACACTTTTTGAAAAGCTTCTTTCAGCTTATGGGCAAGCCTTACCTTGCGGTCCCCTGGTGGGCGGGAGGGCAGCCAGACTTCACCCTGCCCCTCCCACCCACCAGCCAAGCCCCACCCGCTAGGCGTTCTAAGCAAACCCGCTGCCATCCGCTTCTTCAACTCGAGAAGCCACAGCGACGGCGTTGCCCTGGAAACAAATCCGCTTTGTGACGCGGTTCTACACCGGGCTTCTTCCCTCCACCCCTCCCACCTGTGACCCAGGGGGGAAAAAAAGGCCGGTTGCTCTTTCCCCACGCGGAAGGCACTGGCTTGCACAAGCCTCCCCGCACCGCCACCGCGCAGGAACCTAAAGCTGGGCTCGCCAACGCATCCCGCTGCATTGCGTGGTGGGAAAAGTTAGGCGAGGCTTGCGCGGCGACCTTGCGGCCGGCGTTTTTTACGTCGAAAAGGTGCGTCGCTGCTTCTCGGGTGGAAAGAAGCATTCCTTCATCATTGGAATTCCCAGAAGGAAGCCTTCGTGCCCAAGCAGAAAGCCTGTGGGGGGGGGGTGTTACTTTTCGGCAGACTGCAAATAATTCCAAACGATTCAGGAGTCGAAGGGCTCAATTCTATCTAAACTTAGCCCACCCCCAAAAAAGCCTACAACAACCAGCTTGCCGCAGTTAGCATAACTAATATTTGCATGGGATTGTAACCGAAGGAGCCTCTAGGACAGCCTAGAGTCTGTTTTCACAATGGGTATCTACTATACTAAATTTGTTCTCTTTTTATGCTGCTGTCAAAATGTGATTTCTTTTGCTTATTTTTAACGGCAATTCTTTTGTGTTTATTCACTTGTAAACTAACTTGAATAACATCTCAGAATGTGTTCACCTATAAAACAAAAACGGAACTTTATTCTTAGTTTCAGGTTGCAATCCACTTTTAAGACAAGTAAATAGCATTTAAGCTGTGGATTGCACTTTCACACTGTTATATGGGGAGTTTTCTTCAGTCATTAAATACTCCAACATCGGACACCTTTGCTCATTGTATGATACAATGCAAACTTTAGAACTGCAATACTAACGACTCATATTATTGGTAAGTCCCATGGAACTCTACTATGCAATTCATAGTAACTGAATTGGTAATCAAACACTCAAAGCCTAACCTGGGCAACCTGCTGATTGCTTCCAAACATTTTACACTACAGAACTACCACAGATGCTGGTGCTCAGGGTTCCTGGAAATTGTAGTCCAAAACATCTGGAAGGTACCAAGCTACCCATCCCTGCTCTAAAGAATACAATATACAAATCACATAATGACTGCTTTTATTTTAAGTGTATTCTGCTAATAAAACTGCAAAAGTAAAGAGGAGTAAATATTACTGTATTGCAATCAGTACAACCCGACTGCTTGCTTCGTATCTCCAAAGCCCTGACCTTATAAATAATGGATTGTACAGAGGTAAATTGTACTAATAATAGAGCCAGGAAGGGGTGAAAGGAAAGTGATCATACTAACTCTTAAAGGAAAAAAACAGACATGACAAAAGATGTATGTTTTACTTTTAAGTGTTTTATTATGTCAATATACTTGCATGCATAGCAGAGAATACTACTTACCTCAGAGAAACAAGGAGTCAGTTGAAATTACCAGTTTAGCTCTACCAACAGCCTAAATGTATTATAATACACAGAACTTTTTTTTTAGATTTAAGACTCTAAAGTAGCTTTCTAAAGATATGTAAACATTCTGACTAGATTAATTTTATCAGGCAAATGCATGTTCACATTATTAAAATATGGCAATAATGGTCTACTGTATGTTAATTTTACTTTTCAGTAGATGTTATATTCAAATGTTATAGCAAATAAAGCTAAACTACAGTTGCATGACAAAAATTCAGTTATTACCATTTGTAAGGGTGAAATTCTACGGTTTGTTAATGGTA